GTTAACGAGCTACCCTGGGTGGCCACACGAGCTAACTGCGCTAACACACTTGCTCCCACCCATGTTATTGAGCATTGCGTGGCACATCCAACATACTGTTTTACTTTAGTCCCTGACGCACTTACCTTCAGGGTCATACATCGCATGAAAACCAAAATAGTTCCAAACGCCAGATCTGAATGAGGGTGGGGGAGGTTCAATTTGCCATGTTGCAAGGAGAGCTTAACTTCTGTCTCGCTAGCTTTCCCTGCGCTCAGTGAATCTGCGTTCGACTACTCCGCCTAAGCTGCACTGTCGAGCGCAGATCCACTGAGCGCTCAACACAGACAGCATCGTCAGAAGGAAAGTTGATAAAATAAATTTATTTTGTATTGTTCGATACATATGCATACCGAACGGTTCAATATCGATACAAGTATCATTGCACCCCTACCAATTAGGCACAATTTTTAGGGCCAAATATAACAATCTCAGTTTTGTCTGAAATTGAGAGAAAAAAAATTACAGGACATATGGGTCTTTATGTCTTTTACACAAGCTAGCCTGTACTTTCATCAATTGATTTTTGTCATCTGGCTGTTGTCATAGATAGATATAACTGGGTATTATCTGCATAGCAATGAAAGAGATATGCTAATAATAATAAAATGGCCAGCAAGTCAGGCCTCATACCAGCATGGGTATTCTATTTAGAACATATTCTTTCTATTATAGTCCTGAGTTGATGTCAGGTTGAATACAGATTTCAATATAATCAACTTCTACAAGCAGAGCATAAAGTACATGCCGCACAGCTTACGGGCACTAGCTGCTGCACCAAAGTTTCCAGAAACTGGCCAATCAGAACAATGTGGGATCTTAGGGAGGGGTCCCTAAAGAGGCAGGCATAAAAATGGTGCATTTCAAATAAGAAAATATTTGTTACAGAATTCCATTTCACTTTTGTAAACACCTGTAAAGCAATAAACAGCAACTTGCTATTAACTAAAAGGTATTCCTGCATTAGTTTAACCATAAGAGCCCGTTATTAGTCAATATGTTTTCTAATGAAGCTGTATCTGACTCACAAACTGTGTGGTGATGATAGAAAGTTTAGAGGACCCATGAATCACAACAGCAGCAGTTCACAGGCCACAACAACTCATAAGCCTCCTTCAAATTTGCATGTGTCAAGTAAAAACACTTCAAAGACACAGAGGTACAAGAATGTGGGATTTTATATAAAGAAATCAACTGTTTAATATTGTTTCAGAACCGCGAGTGTCCCAGATTTCAGAAATATATGGCTCTTCTCCACCCATTCCTCTTTCCCAGAGCTAAAGTAATTGGGCATAGCTGCAGATCTGCAGGTTATTAAAAGCTTGTGAAAAGAATTCACAAAATGTCACCCAAGTAACAGCACCATCCTACCACTATTTTAATCATTTAGTGTGCTCTTTAAGCAATAATACATGTCATTATCTTAACACATTTAATTGCACAATGGAACAGATTCTCATGATTGGTGCCAAATCATCCAAACGGACAGAATTTCCACATGAATCTCCCAGCTAAACAGGACGGGCAGCTTGAGCAACAGGTCGGCAGAGACTGATCACAGTGGATTCATAACTGCGGCTAAACACCAATTTTCCCACTACGCAGCATCAACAGCATCGTGTCTGAACCTGCAGAGGTGAGGGCTGATTGCTGGAAAAGCCTGGAGCACAAATGAGCCTCCTACACACCTCCACAAATTCACACCTCCACAGACCCAAGCCATTTCAATTTTCTCCACAAGCGCTGGACGCATTGCTGCTAGCAGCGTGTGTATGTGTGCGTGGGAGGCTTGTTGTGTTTGCGCGATCCGCATGTGTAAGCGTACCTTCCTAAAAAAAGGGGGGGGGGGAAAACAAAGTTCACAAGGGCACTGCAGAGTGGCTGTTTAGTGCCATCCGCTCAACCAGCACAAACAAACACGAAAACAAGAGTTGTGTGCAGCAGGAAGCCACTCATCTCCCGCCCAAACCAACACATTTCACACTCTGTTACAAGGAGGTTGCCAACTGTTACCTGGCAACAGCCAAAGCATGCAGAAACAAAACATAACGTGTCCACCAAATAAAAAAAGTATAGATATATTTATTTCATCTAAGCTGGTGTCAAATTAGCAGTGGAGAGCTACATTTCTAAGAAGAAAAAAAAAGATTATAGGAGTGACACGAGGCTTCACATTTCCTCACAGTAACCCTATTGTTTTGTCCTCAACCTTTTCCACCTCATTTCCCCTGGGGGGTGGGGTCTGGCCTCATACTGGAGGCTTGTGAGTCAGAGTGCAGCAGAAAGGGTGAGAACCACTTGGCTCACATCTTACAGCACAGCCACACAGTGTAATCAGTGCTTCTAATGACCTAATTGATATTTAGTAGGACAAATTGTATTCATTAGACAAAGCAGATCATATGCAAAACACAGAAGAAGGGATTATTACAAACTGTGAATGATGACGAAGGGAGGATATCGTCACAGTTAAAAGCTAAATCCTCAGTGCTCTCACTTTCAAAATACCTACCACCTCTAAACAAGAGGCCAGACTACAGGATCATCCATGCTTTGAATATACATACTGGCAAAAATCCAAACATGCTGGTTACATTATTTATTTGTTTAACATGCATGAAGGTGCTACCATGGAATTTTGGCCAGAGCTTGAGAGAAAAGTTCAACCTCACAGGGACTTCCTTGAGTTTCACTCACATTAAAAGGACTAAGATTCCTCTAATTTTGCACCTGTAGTATGTAGCCTGACATAAAAGTGATTTAACTACTAATAATAAAAGGTGCCATGCGAGACAGTCACTTCCCTTTCTGTAAGACTAATGGTACACAGTGGTACACGATTGTGGTCAGGTGTACAATCACACACACCGCTCGATGCAGTACCGTCACAGTACCGCCTGAACATACATTTAAAGCAATTACGGTTCGTGAAAAGCGTGTGCGCCACACAGTAAATATTTATCCACAAACCAGCAAAACGGCAATTACCCGTCTGTCAGCGAGGCAGTTTGAGAAGTTCCCATTAAAACTGGAGCTGAATGGGAGCCCCAGGGCTCAAAACACCTTAGGGTGGACTCATTCTTTAGTGTGTTTGTGGGTGTGTTTACACGCTGTGTGCAATTTGTCTTCATCCAACTAACCGACGTCACGGAGTAGAAACCTGAGCAGGGTTGTTTTCAAGGGTTTGTTGCCCTGTACCCGGCGTCTCTGCAGCCCCAAATAACCTGACACAAAGCAGGAGACACGCCTCCCGTCATCGGGGCCAGTCATACGATCCCTCAACTAGAGTGAGAGTATGA